GACTTACTATTTTTAAAATATGATGGACTTTTCAAAAAGTAAATAGAAAAAAAAGTGAGGCAAGACAGCTTTAGCCTCATTGTTGAATATTATTTCTTTGAATTCAAGCTGAAACTCAAGCCTTACATTGCCTTATGCTTTGTTTATAGTCTTTTTATATATCTATATAAATGAGGGTTCTTTAATGGGTTATGATACTATGTAAAATTTTATTCTGGCCCATCTCATATTCTGCCAGTACCAGTTATTACATTTTATTTCTCTAATACTTTTTCCTGGTGTGCAAAACTTGGTTCTCTTAAGGAGTGGCATTTTCCAATGGCTTTCCACTATGACCCACAGGACTCGTGTACTGTGGATCAGGAGAGCTGAGAGAAGAAAAAAAAAGCCTTTATCTTTAGCACCTGAATGGGATGTGCCCTGCACAGTGTTGCTTTACTGACAGTGGGCAGGGCTCTGGTCTTTAGTTTCTGCCTGTCTGTCCTTACATAGAGAATAAATGAAAAGCAGAACCAACCTTGCAGGTCAGGTAGGGGATGTGGTTTTGGTTTGAACTCTACTGTCATCTTTTCTCAGGAGCTACAAAGATTTCTAAGTTCCTTCCTTCTGTCTCCAATTGCCACATTCTGCAGCCTCTCAACATCAGGGTCCTGTGAGTTGAGAGTAATGATTTGGAGAGAGGGGCAGCACTGTGCCTTAATGGCTCGTAGCAGGGCAAAGACTTTATCTGTTGTGTGCACATCTATGCACTCCTAGGGTGAGGTGGAATTTGTCCATTTTAGTTTCTGGTTTGATACAGTGTGATATATCTTGATTATCAAGTACCCCTGGTTTCTTTGGACACCCTTAGAATACTGTTCCACACAAAGCAAGAAACAGCAAGTAATTGGGGAGCTGAAGAATAACACATTATTGGTGTCTTCCCCCCACCCTCCCCAGGGTTAAAAACAATAGCTGTGTGAGGGAGCACATTATAGGAGTGCAGGTCACTAATGTATCTTCCTACAAATATTAGCAGGCAATTTGTCAATAAAGCATTCCTTTGGAGGAAAATCCACATCCATTTGTTTGGTCTGTCTTTTAGGATACTGACAAAAGATAAGAGTAAATAAATGCACATGATTCCTTGCTTTGAACAAGGACAAGCAGGAGACAATCATGTATAAATTACAAGTCTTTGGTGTGCATATAAAAGGAGGAAGTTGTGTAGAAGCTACATTTCTGGATAAGACCAAGGATGTATACCAAGGCATGCAGTTTAGGGGCTTGCAGTCCATTATCAAGATTGGCTCCACTGAAGGGGCCTTTTTGTCCCAGTGAACATCTAGCTTTGCTGGCTTTTGCTGTGAGGCTGTGCCAGGAGCTTACCTGGCAGAAGAGGGCATTAGGAAGACCAGCATCTTAGTCCCACTTGAGAGAAGACTGTTACCCAGTGGTACAACAATCCTTAGGAGGTATGCTCTTAGTATGCAGATGAGTGGCCATGTGAAATAATGATGAGTAATTGAAGACCCTTAAGTGCTTAGTGAACAGAGTAAGTTGGAGTCGTGGGCCAGATCAGAAGGGCTAAGTGGTATGAGTGGGACAGGGAGTGGCCCTCGCCTTGGGCAAGCCTAGACTGCAGGGCAGCAACTAGATCTGGGCTAGAAATTCAATATTTACCCTAGATGATATTGGAAGGCAGTCCAATATGCTCCAGTCATTAAGCAAATACTATACATGATCTGTGGATGAGAGGTTGCCTGTCCAGCTTTGTGGATACATGATTGTGTTCATGGACCCAGTCCTCAGGACTGTACTCCTTAAGGAAGATGTGTTCCTCTTCGAAACTCTGGTTCTCATGAGGTGTGATGAAGGTCTCTGAGAGTATTATAGACTGGAGCAAGTTGAACAGGTAGAGCCAGGGCATATTTGAGGGGCTTGTACTAGGAAAGAGCAACAATATTTGAAGGCTCAGATTTGGGATGGTGGAATCTGCCTAATTCAGATAAAGGGATAAGATAAAGCACTTAGCATCAAAGGCAAAACCTGAAAACCCCCTCAAATTTGTAACTACTGCCAGAATTCCTGTCATAAATTCTCTTAAAGGTTGTCAAACTAGCTTGGCATAGTGGCATACACCTTCACTCCCAGCACTTAGGAGGCAGAGGCAGGTGAATGTGATTTTGAGGCCAGCTTGGTCTATGAAGAGTCCAAGATAACCAGGGCTACACAGAGAAACCCTGTCTATAAATTAAAAATGAGTTGGCTTGCTAATTTGTGAACATTTGTAATGTTTTTTTTAAAACACCATGCTTTTGTAGAGATTACTGTGAAGAGCTATCACAGGTATTGTGTGTGTTGTAGCCATTCTTTCCCTATGGTTATTTTATATGTAGTTTAATGGCTATATTTCATTTGAATGTGCTTATTTGTACAGTTAGGCCATTTTACATTTTTCACTTACAGGTTTTCTCTTTCTCCTTTTGTTTGTTTTGTTTTTTGAGACATGGTTCTCTGTGTACCCCTGGCTATTATGGAACTTGCTCTGTGGACCAGGCTGGCCTCAAACTCATAGATATCCACCTGCCTCTGACTCCCAAGTGCTGAGAATAAGTTGTGTGCCACTACCTCTTGGCCATTTTCATTATTATAAATGACATTACTATAAACATAAAATACATAAAATGTATTTTAATACATAAAATGTATGTATTTGGACACTAAAAAATATCCTTGATCTGGAGGGAATAACTTAAGGCCTGATTCATCTTTGCAGTTCTGATCACAGACAGCCCCGTAGCCTCTGTATTCAGTTGGTTCCCGGTCAGTTCCACTACCCCTTCCTACTGTGGAGTCTTTACACTTATGATCTCCCTCTCAAAGGTTACACTACATATTATCTAGCTCTTACCTTAGATTCAGAGCCTTCTGTCTCTTCTAGGATGACAGGCATGGATTTTTATGCTTAGTTTTCCTTCTTGAGTCTCCTTGTTGGTTTTTTTGTTTGTTTGTTTGCTTGATGTTGCACAACTTACTAAGTTTCTTGAGCTATATGCTGCTGACAGTCTAGAACATGAGCCAATTCAAATTCAGCCAGCATGCAGAAAGGTATAAAATAAAAAGAGAAGACCCTGTTGGAAACGATTGGGATTTACTAAGTGTATTATGGGAGGCCTTAAGTCTTATCTGCTTTGCTTTTGAAAACTGGCTTGAAGATGGTCAGCAGTTAGGCCGGGCGGTGCATGCCTTTAATCCCAGCACTTGGGAGGCAGAGGCAGGCGGATTTCTGAGTTCGAGGCCAGCCTGGTCTACAGAATGAGTTCCAGGACAGCCAGGACTACACAGAGAAACCCTGTCTCGAAAAACCAAAAAAAAAAAAAAAAAAAAAGAAAAGAAGATGGTCAGCAGTAGTAGCCCATATATCTTGTTGGTTAACCAACAGCTCTTTAATTGGACTTAAGGCCTGCTTAGTAAGAGGAAAATCATGCCTGATCCTGGAAACCTAGGCAACTATCTGGGGCTAGTGAAGTCATGGATCACTTTACTAAACCAGCATAATCCCTAATCACAACCTAAATATTTATCCTTATGCCTGTAGGTAAGTGTAGTTCTCACTCTTCATCGGGGAAACCTTTCCAACAGATGGAGATCATTACAGAAACCTGAAACTGATCAAAATGTAGAGTTGTGGAAGAAGGAGAGGAAAAACTGCAACAACCAGAGGACCAGGCAGTTTGCTCTGAGATTTATCTCCGAGAAATGTCAGAGAAGCTACATCCATGAAGTTAACATCTAACCAACATGGCTGCCTAACTATGACCTGAACAAGGACAACATCTGCTAAGCATGGTGTAAGGGAGAAAGCCCACAAGGCCTCAATCCTAGATTAAGAAATTCAGGTAACTAAGGAATTCTGAGAGTTGGAGAAATCTTTCCTAGGGAAGAGCATAGCAATTGGTTATCCCATACCAAATGGTCAGCCTTCAAAACATATACATACTTAACATACAGACTGAACAGGTTGTATTTATGTAGGAAAAAAAAAAAAAAATATATATATATATATATAATCTCAAAGACGAGGCCATGACTTTGAAAGTGTATGTGTTAACATGAGAGGGTTGGAGGGAGGGAGGGGAAAATGATGTAATTATAATCCAAAAAAATTATAAAAGAAAAAAATGGTGGGCAGGCAAGAATGAAAGTAAAGCTATAGGAACACTGGCCACGAAGACTGTTAGGTAGCTCTGGAATAAAAGCACAGCTCTTAAAATGGTAGTATTGTTTGTTACAGGTTAGTAAGCAAGGGTGACCAGGTTTCTTAGTAAATGAACAGAAGGAACAAGGATTGTTGAGGCAGAGTGGGAAGAAAAGTCCTTAACCGTCCCCGCATATCACTGCCGACTATCCTAGAGGATCGCTTAATGGCGGTTGGTTTTTCAGTGGCTGGGGAGGCAGGCAGGAAAGTCTTTTCTGGGTGGTCTCCAGGGACGAACAAAAAATGTTAGTCCCAAGGCAGTACCTTGAGATGAAGGTCTCCCTCTAGTTTTTTGATAAGTAGTAATAAATTCTTTGAGGCTTGCTTATATGAAGCATTGACCAAACTTAACTTCAAGACGAGCAGTTTTACTAGCGGAGTGCCGCTGCTTTCCAGAGGCGGAACCGTACGCCTAGGCCCTGCCTCTGCTCCGCAGCTGTAGCTTCCGGCTTAGTAGCTGCAGGCTCCTCCCACCATTTTAACCCTTCCCATTGATTGTCAATTGGGGCACTGCCTTTCGCGGACCAAGCTCTACCGGAGCCCCGGAGCTTTCGTGCGGCCCTACTGCACTGGCTCCAACTATGGGCGGGGCCTCAGTGTAAGGTTCTAGGCGCTTGCGCAGCCGGCTCTGACCTGCCCGAGCACACGTCTTTTTCCGGGGGCGCGCGTGCCAGTGCGTGAGCGTGCGCGTTCTTGCTGCCGCCAGTGTTGCTTCCGCCGTCCTCTGCCGCTGCTACGGCTGTCGCCGCCCGGGATCCTCAGGCCGAGCAGTAGGCCGGCCGGCTGCCCAGCACTGCCCCGGTACGGAAAGCGGAGCCGCGGAACCCGTGGACCGGCGGGCGTGCCGACAGGTGAGCTCACTCTCAGTTGCTCTCAAATTAGGTGGGGCCGCGGGGTTCAGGCCGCCGGAGCCGGGCGAAGGGGAGGGGAAGTGGGGCGAGGGCGCCGCAGGAGGAGGTGAAAGCTGTCCGCAGCCAGAAATGGCGGCGACCCTCGGCAGCGGCGGCGAGCCCGGCCCCAGGCACCGCTAGGCCCTTATCGACCTTGCGCTCGGCGGGGCGGCGCGGGGACGAGGCTTTCCGGGCCAACCCGGGCTCGCACGCGCGGCCGCCTCCGCGGCTCCCGGAACGCAGAAACTGATGTAGGGAGGCGGGCAGTGAAGGCTCTGAGGCTTGTTCACATTTTGGGATGCAGAAAATTGCCTTATAGTTGTAAGTTTCAAAAGCATTTGACGTATTAAAAAAAAACCTACTTTATATGCCTCGCAACGACATTTTAAGAGGCGCTTTTGTATCGAGCTCTTTGGGGGAGAGAATTAAAGGACTCATCCGTTCAGGCTCCAACTTGTGTTATATGGCTGGATTAAAAACTTGTTTTTCCTTGTGTCTAGGAGATGATTTCTCCGAATTCATTAAGTGCATCTTCGGAAAAATAATGCAAAAGGTAGCTTTAATTTGTTTTCAGATTGGACTTTGGGGAAATTGGGTCGCCGTTTGTTGAACGCTCAGCTGATCATTTATCCTTTATAGGCAGTGTGTCTGAATTGCTAGTGATTTGTCTGTTTAAGGATCAAAACGCTACTTAATACCACAAAGAATTTTATTTACCCATATATTGTCGTGGTTGCCTAAAGACAAAACTCTAATCGTAGGATAATTATGTTCATTTATTTGCTTTCAAGGAAAGCGTGATCTGTTGGATGACATTAAAAGCCAGGGCTTCCCGCAGTCTCTAACCTAATGTGTTTTATGATGATTCTGTTACCTGTATCAGTGTTTTCATACAGGCTGGCCCTGTCTGGGTGGACAGCAAGTGTGGAGCCAGTGCAGACGGTTTGGAAACGGTGTGCCTGTCCTTGGATTCTTTAAGCTCCGTGCCTCACAATCTCTTTGCCCCAGCAGCCTCCTTGCTAGTCTCTTAACCAATTTAAGTGATCAATCTTTGATTTTTTTTTTCTTGGCCACTCGTTCTCTCCTGTTCTGTGAGATATCCTTCATTTCTACTACTCCACTATGTACTGTAACTAGTCTGCTGTCAACTGTTACAGCTCTCGGCTTAGCGTTTCCCCTCCTTGCTTAATTTTCATACAGGGCTTGACTCTCATTTAATGTGTTAACGTACTTAACATTGTTTTTTAGTAAGGCTTGGTTTTGTTTTTTAGGATAGTCAGATAGTATTTGCCCAGTAAATAATTATCTGATGAATGGAAACGAGTTTAGTAGCAGCTGAGCGATTGCCCTTTCACCAGGAAGCCAATTAGTGAGTACTGAGCCCTTAAGAATCACCAGGCTTCTGTATCCTCAAGGACAGCCACCAACTTTCCCCTTCCCATTTTGAAAAGAAAAGGCAGTCAGTTAAGAGGGTATTAGAAAGGTTTTAGACTTCCCTGTAAAATCACTTTACAACATTTGGGGGTGGGGGGTGGGGGTGGGAGTGGCGTTGGTTTTTCAAAACAAGGTTTCCCCCTGGCTTGCCCTGGGACTCGGATCTATAGACTATGCTGGTCTTGAACTCAGAGATCCACCTGCTTCTGTCTTCCAAGTGCTGAGTCTAAAGGTGTGTGCTATCATCAGTCAGCTCTTTGTAACTTTTGTGATTTTTCAGAGTTAAAAGTTTTAAAAAGATACGCTACTGGTTCAATAAAAAGGCTCTTAGAAATTTGTCTTTGGTGATATGAAGTCTTCTGATTCTTTAGTTATATGGAGAGACTGCTTTGTGACTGAACAATTCTATAGTTCTGTCTAAGGCCATTGCCTCTTTCCCATCTAAGTTTAGAAGAATATCTAGAGTGCTCTGTGGTGTTTTTTTTTTTTAAATTTATTTATGCGTTTTTTAATGTAGGTGTGTGCTGACTGCATGTACACCTACATGCCATAAGAGGGCATCTGATCTCTTTATAGATGACAGTTAGCCACCTGGTGATTGCTGGGAATTGAACCCAGAACCTCTATAAGATCAGCTAATGTTCTTAACTGCTGAGCCATCTCACCAGTCTGATTTCTCTGTATTATCGAGAACAATTCTGTTAATCTGTGGTTCAGTGTTGGGTGCATGCTGCACAGTTCTACCCACTTTTACCCAAGAGCACTTTGGAAAGAGCGATGCTTCTGGGTATAGTTGTAGACTCACCCTGACAACCTCCTTTGCTGAAGATCTAACTTAATGAATCAGAGTTAGAGCTTCAATTGAATCCAAGGCTTCTGAGCCTGATTTCTTCTGTTTGTTAACCACCTATATCTTACAGTATCCCATAATCTGTCAGAGTTGTGTCTTTAAGGCCCAGGTGCATGGTGCTCACAGGTGCTTGTGGAATAAGTAACTAAGATGTGGTGAAGCTGAGGCTTATGATACGGTAGATTTTTAGAAGTTTGCTTCTGAGAGCAGAACATGAGGTGTGGGATTTGAAGTATGTGATACTGTGAGCAAATCATCAAATGCAGTTATTCTTCTCCAGTAAAGAAATAAACTCCTGAAATCTTAGGGAACTAGTTAGCAGCCATTCGTATGGAAATGAAGGATTTTAAGATCAGTTCTGCATTATGAGGACCTCTAGTGTTCCTGTGGTGCCTGCTGGAAGTTTTCGGGTATGGTATATTAAGCATTTAAAAATGTAATAATCAGGACTGAAGGTGCAGATAACAGGAGAGCGGTTTTGTCTAGCATGTGCCAAGACCTGGATTTAATAAGCTCTACACCTCAAAGAAAAAGGAAAAAGTTGCATTCCTAAAATGAGGTTTATTATTGTGTACTATTGACGGATTTAAAGCCTTTTGTCAGGTAAACCTACAGTTTTACTGTACTTCCCTCATCTGTACATCTGCAGAGTCTGCTAGGCTCTCCCTCCTGAAAGGGGAGCTCACACCATCACAGCTCCTTCTGTCTCTGGGTCTCTCTCTCTGTACTCTATAAAGTGAGGGGAAATTTTCTCATCATACCTGCCTGTTACAGAAGTAAAGAAATGATAAATAGAAGGTATTTTACTGATAGTTTCCTAAGTAGAAATGACAAAGATGCTAAAGATGGTGATGGCCTTATTTTGTAAAAAACTACCCCTAAAACATTTTTAGTCTTGGGCTGCCGTGCCAGAGTTGTCTCTGATAGCAACCCTGGCAAGGATTAACAGCTAATCTGATAACTGGCAACTAAACAGGAAGATTTAAGGATTGGATTACCCAACAACCTTTAGTGTGGATTTTGCTCGTCCTGACACTTTGCATTAACTTGAGTTTGTTTATTAATGAAAAGTTTGTGTTCTTCATTCTTTTTGTTTGTTTGTTTGCTTGTTTGTTTGTTTTTGAGACAGGGTTTCTCTGTGTAGCCCTGGCTGTCCTGAAGCTCACACTCTGTAGACCAGGCTGGCCTCGAATTCAGAAATCCACCTGCCTCTGCCTCCCAAGTGCTGGGATTAAAGGCATGCACCACCACTGCCTGGCTGTGTTCTTTATTCTTAATACATGATAGTTAATAGGTGTATTAGTTAGGGTTTTGCTGCTGTGAAGAGACACCATGACCACGGCAACTCTTATAAAGAACAGCATTTAGTTGGGGCTGGCTTATACTTTCAGAAGTTCAGTCTATTATTGTCATGGTAGTATACATGCAGACATGGTGCTGGAGATGGAGCTGATAGTTCTACATCTTGATGGCCAGGCAGCAAAGAGAGACTGTGTGTCACACTAGGCATAGCCTTAGCATAGGAAGAGACCTCATAGCCTGAGTGACACACTTCCTCCAACAAGGCCATACTTCCTTATAGTGCCACTCCCTATGGGCCAAGCATTCAAACACATGAGTCTATGGGGGCCATACTATTCAAACCACCATTATAGGTATGGTTTTTGTTTTTGTTTAATTTGATGTGTGTTGTGGAGGCAAGGGGGTATGGTACATGGACTAGCATGTATAAATAAATGTACCCTCCTGTGTGTATACAAAGGCCACAAGAGAATATGGGTGTCTTCTGTGGATCTTACTACATTGAGCCTCCCTCAGGCTGTCTGGCTAGTAAGTTTATAGGATCTACTTGACTTTGCTCCCAGTGCTGGGGTTACAGGTACACAAAACTATGTCAGACTTTTTAAAGTGGGCTGGGTCCTGGGAATTCAAGTATGACTTCATGCTTGCCGAATAAATATTCTTATTCACTGAGCTATCCTAGCCCTCAGTATAGGCCTTTTGTTTTTTTGTTTTTTGTTTGTTTGTTTTTTTCCCCGAGACAGGGTTTCTCTGTGTAGCCCCGGCTGTCCTGGAACTCACTCTGTAGACCAGGCTGGCCTCGAACTCAAATCTGCCTGTCTCTGCCTCCCAAGTGCTGGGATCAAAGGCGTGCGCCACCACTGCCTGGCTGGGTTTTTTTTGTTTTTTTTGTTTTAACAAGTAAAAATTGCTTTAAATTTTGAGCTTCACAAACATTGATATTTTATATCAAAATTACAGAAACAAAGTATCTTATGGCTGCCTTTAATCCCAGCAGAGGCAATGGATCTTTATGAGTTTGAGGCCAGTCTGGTTGACAAAGCAGGTTCCAGGACAGCCAGAGAGTACACAGCTATTTTGCAGAGAAACTTTGTCTCAACAAAATGGAACAAAACCAAAACCAAAAAAGAGTAAGAGAGAGATCACTGAAAATTCTTCCATGTTAAGTTTTCTCTTCACTAATCTGTATATGTTCTTGTATTTCATTCCATAATCACTGTATGTTTTTCACAAGTGACATTTAATTTGTGACAGAGAACTGTATTTCTAGATATTTTGAACTTAACTAGTATTTTCAGATTTTGTGAGGTATTATGAATACTCAGTCAGTATTCCTTGAATTTGTGTAAGTGAAGCTTACTCATTATCATGAGTTGTTGGTGATTTTATTGTCAGTTTAATTGCTAAATATTAAACTTGCACACATACGCCCGTAGTGCTTTACAAGATAAAATATGCAGAGTTCTTCTTGTGTTCTAAGGAATGCTTGCCTATTGGCTATAAGGTTACAATCCTGGTGAGTCAGAGGATTGGAATGAGGATTTGCTGGGTGATGGTATCAGGTGTGTCCCATTCAGGCTATCTTGGGAAAGAAGTGTGGGCATCTTAAGAGAAATCTGCCTTAATGACTGTTCATTTTCATTGAGTGGAATATGTTCCAGTGAAGAACACAATCAGATATCTCATGGTATTATTGATCTGAGTTAACCTTAAGGGGCAGGTTATGAGTCAAGGGCCTAAAGGTCTGAGACTGCAGACTTCTCATCTGACACTCCTAAGTGAAGGTGAGGTGGAGGGTGGGAACAGGAGGAGTGACCTGAATTCTGTGAAGGAAGAAGGTGTTGTTGCCTGTCTTTATTTTCTCTTAATACAGAAAGGTATTAGCAGGCCTATTGAGCTTCTCTGTTAAACAGGAGTGCATTTTATTGTAATTTTTCTTTGACAAAGTCTGTTAGAATGTAAATTTT